TGGAAGAAAATTTTTCTTTCCATTCTGGGAAAAAATATATTAATTTATAATTTGTTGCTTAAATACCTATGCAAATGTAATATTAATGTATAAATTATTAGTTGTTTATTTTAATAAAACTGCATTGAAATAACGTCTGTGAAATTTATACTTTCATTTGATGCCTAGTGTATATACAAAGTAATAGATTACAATGTATGCATCTGTTTACAAAACAAATTGAATTGTTTTTATTTATTTGATCAAACGTGATTTTGCTTGCCTTACTCTTGCATTGTAACCACCAGCTGCAAAGTACCCTGTTAGAAAAAGTAAACTAGCACTGCAGATAAACTGTCACTACTATCGCTCACATATAAACAGCTCCTTTAAACGAATATCGATTTTCAACATATTTCCCTTTTTTTTTTAATTGTACACCCTGAACATGGTATTTTATGTTTATAATATACAAAAGAAAGCATCGCACAGACTATAATAAATATATCTGATCAGTATTTATGCTTTTTATACTCCTCAAGAAACTACTCATATATTGGAATCGATATCGGACGACTACTGCATATAGTTCCCATACATGTACAAACTGAATGATTCCGGTTTTCAGCGAAAACTAATTAATTTGAAAAGATAACTTGAAATTCGCTATCTAGTATTGCCTAAGATAAAGGTGCAACCTATGAAGAAATTACACTATACCCAAAAAAGTGATTACTTGACATTTTTTCATATAATTTTTGAGGTGCTGATGGAAGAGTTTTAGACCTTTACATTATTTACAACTTTGCCATATAACCTTTTTCTATTGGAATTGTTGTTCTGCCGGAGATTGAGTTTTATCATTTCTAACCCTCCAAAATTCAACCATATCATTCCCTTTTCTTTTCCGTACCTAAAATTATTCGTAAATTATTTTGCCCAACACTTTTTTCACTATATCTTTCGTTTGCAATGAATTTCAATCCATTAAGATTTCTTTAAATTTTTACCATTGTCTATTATAATAAAAAATTTTTTTTTTTTTGAGAAAAAATTT